TCTTCTCTTTCCATTCCATTAGTCTTGCCTGGGCCAGCAGAAGCAGATACTGACTGGTTGGTGTGAGGAATTTTGAAAAATTGTGTCTCATATCATTATTACCATATCTTGTAATCTTAGCACTTGGGAGACAGAAACCAAATCATCAGGAGTTCAAGACCAGCATAAGCCACATGAAATAAGAGGGAGGAGGACTAAAATGGGGCCTGATGTATACCTATAATCCCAGCACATAGGAGGTTATGAGTTCAAAACCAGCCTATGTAGTAAAATCCTGTCTCAAAACCATAGCAACAATAGTAAGGTTTGCTTGGAATTTCTGTTGCTGATTTCATTGGAAGCCTGAATGAGGGAGGACTGTCTAGATCAGGTTGCCCTATGACCATGCCTATAGGGGATTTGTCTTGATTATCGATGTAGGAAGAACTAACCCACTGTGGGCAGCACCGTTCCCTAGACAGGAGGTCCTGAACTATATAAGACAAGAGAAAACTAAGTGCAAGAAGCAAGTAGCATCACACATTTCTCTGTGCTCTTGTCTGTGGGTGTGAGATGACAGTTGCTTGAGTGAGTTCCCCTCAATAAGGGACTGTCACCTGGAATTATAAGCCAAATAAATCCTTTCTCTCCTAAGATGATTTTGGGCAGGGTATTTGCCACAACAATAAAAATGCACCTGGGACAATGGGAGGAAAACTAAAGACTCAAACACAGACTAGGAAAAAGAAGTATTGGAATCACTTGTAAAACCAAGATCAGTGGTCAGAATATGCGAACGCATACATCATAGAGATGATACATGCTGGGCCAAATGCACAAGACATGAAGGTCAGTATCAGTAGTTTTGGAAATGGAAAATTAGAAAGACTAGCCATATCAGTTGTTACTGAGAATGCACTGTGGCACTGTTATTGGTGAGAATATAAAGTATACCAGGCTTTGGAACACAGATTGCAACTTCTTATAAGTTAAAAATAATACTTGCATATGACTCAACAATTACACTCACGGGTAATTATATAAGAGAAATAAAAGCATGTTTCTACAAAAAAAGAATCCATCAAAATGATAGCTTTATTCATAATAGTATTCATAATAGCCAAACAATGGGAACAGCTGGAACTCCTCAATAGGTGATGGACAAGCAAGTGGTGTGGCTATACCCAGCCAAACTCAGCAATGAAACTCAACTGTGGATTTCTGTAAAATGTGGATAAATCTCAAAATATAGAGTATGATCCTGCTTATATGACATTTTAAGAAACACAAAACTAATCCCCAGTAGCGGAAAACAAACAGTGGTGGCCCTGGGTCTTGGATAGGGGAACTGACCTGGAAAAAGCCCCCTACTAGCTCCCTGAGAATGTGCTGGCTCAGCATGGTGGTGAATATGTGATGAATGAACCCAACAAACACATTTATCTTAAAAATAGGTATGGAATATTTATACAAATTGCATCAAATTAAAAAATTAGCTAAAATTGTTTGTTTTGTTTTTTTATTTATACAAATTGCATCAAATTAAAAAATTAGCTAAAATTGTTTGTTTTTTTTTTTTTTAAACTGGTGTTTGGTTTGTTTGATTGGGGTAGGGAACGTTTCATATACACCAGGCTGGTCCAAAATTTCCTCTATAGCTAGGGAATGACCTGAGCCTCCTGTTTCCATCTCCCAAATGCTGAGATCACAAGCGTGTGCCATCACGCCCAGATGTCTGGGCCTCGTGTGTGTGCCAGGTAAGCACTCAACCAACTAAGCTGACCCCACAGCCCTGGTGTTGTTTTGTTCTATCAAAAACTCTAGGAGGAGTTATCTTTCTCTAGAAACCACAGGCCATCAAATTTTGTTCATGTTTCTTGAAAGAAGAGACAAGAGGAGGGCAGGGAAGAAAGGAGCAATACTACCACAAATCTAGGACTTGAGGGCAAATGTGTTAGAGCCATCATCCAGTTCCTGTCACCATGCTGTATCCTTTGAAGAGTCACTCAGCAAGTCTGAGAGAATCATGAGTGTCACTAACACTCTATAGTAGACCATTGGGAGTACATGGGGAGACTCTTTAGCTGTATAAAGAAACATATGGGCAAGCAAACCTAACTGTTTTTTTTGGGGGGTGGAGGACAAGGAGGGAGCATCTCATGATGTAGCCTAAGTTGCCTTCAAACTCAAAACTCCTGCCTCAGCCTCCTGAATGCTGAATTACTGATGTGTGTCCCCACATCTAGCCTAACTTGGTTCTTGCTGAACACAGCTAGTAATGTGTGCATGTATGTATATGTATAAATTAAATATTATCAACGAGCATACATATAAAATGCACATAGTGGCATCCGTTGTTATTGCTGCTGGTTATATGGCTTGTTTTGGGATCTCTTTCTTTCTCATGCCACTGCCAGGGGCCAGCCAGGGCTGCTACACTGTCAAGCCCTAGTCCCATTGCAAACCAAAATCCTCTCTAGTTCCCCTTGGCCCAACAAAAGTTGCTGGGGCTAAAATAATAATAGTAGTAATAATAATAACAACAATAATGTGTGGTACATAAGACAAATGGACAGGGTGCATAGTTAGAACATAAACCAACTCTTGACCTAAAAAATGCATGTTCTGGGCCTGGAGAGATGGCTCAGAGGTTAAGAGCACTGGCTGCTCTTACAGAGGTCCTGAGTTTGAGTCCTAGCAACCACATGATGGCTTACAACCATCCATTATGAGATCTAGTGCCCTCTTCTGGCCTGTAGAGATACATGCAAGACAGAACGCTGTTTACATAATAAATAAATCTTTTTAAAAAACAACAAAAATACGCAGTTCTAATCATATCATTTATTAAGCCCTTAACAGCTATGTCCTATTGGAATCCATGTAAGACACTGTGTGCCCTATGCCGTCCTTCCTGTACAAAAGGGGAGGGGAGGAATCTCTATAGAGTGCTGCCTGTAAGACACACAGGAAGCTGGGAATAGCCCTTGCCTTGGTGAAGGGTGCACAGGCAGGCACGAGGCAAGCAAGGTACAGACACTTCAGGTGTCTCATTTGGCCATCTCCATTTCACCCAAAGGCACTTGGAAAACTGACCATTTTCTCCAGATAGGGGTGGCTCTGGTGGGCTAAGTACAGTTCCATTCTCTTGATAGTGACTTGTTCAGGGATGACTATGTGACCTAGTTCTATCCCGAAAAGTGGGAAGAGAGGGCTTGCTATGTCCCTCTGGGATGTGCTTTCACAGCACGATAGAGTCCAAGGGAATCATGTTCTCTTGGCTTCTGTGGGGTCCAAGCAAGGACACATGTAGCCTTGTAGAATAAACGTCTTATTTCTGCTTCACAAGAAAGGAGCCAGCCTTAGACGGGAGACATACAATAGAGAGCAGAGGAGAAAAGAGAGTTGGCCCCTGCATGATACTGTCAGCTTCCAAGCCAACAGAACTAACACCTCTCCCTTTAATAACAGAGTGAGTCCAGTTACCAGCCACCCAAGCCAGGGCTAGGCTTCAAGTTTCTACTATTTGCAGCTAATAACCGTTAAAGCAGAAGAGTTTTTACGTTCTCTCTCTCTCTCTCTCTCTCTCTCTCTCTCTCTCTCTCTCTCTCTCTCTCTCTCTCTGTGTGTGTGTGTGTGTGTGTGTGTGTGTGTGTGTTTGTGTGTGTGTAGAGGACCAGGTCCAGGAGTAAGTTTTCTTCTGACACCTTGTTGAGACAGGATATTCCAGTTTAGCTGGCCGGTGAGCTTTCAGGATGATTTTATCATTTCCACATCTCATCTCTTCAGGAGTTCTGGGATTATAGATATGCCTACTGCAACCAGCTTTTTATGTGACTTCTGGGGATTAAGGTCAGGTTATCAGGTTATCAGGATTGCACTGCAAATGCTTTCATCCAAAGAACCATCTCCCCAGCCTATTTTTCTTTTACAGTCATGTGAATGTATTCGAGTGGCTGGGTGGATGGATGGATGGATGGATGGATGGATGGATGGATGAATGGATGGACAGACAAATGGGCCAATAGATATTGGGAGTGTGTACTGTGTTTAAGGTAAGGAAAACAAATACTATTAGGGGAAAATTGCCTTTAATCTTTAAAAAATAATCCTAGAAGATGTAGTTTCTAAAGAGACAGACTAGGCCATCCTCACTCCTACTTGATTTATCCTTACAGAGTTAACATAGTTGACCTACTCAGAGCTGGCTTTTATGTAGTTCAAATTGATTAAATGTCAGCAAATTACAATACAAAGAACTAAGCAGGGGCCACTGTGGGGAGTGGAGGAAGCCCTGAGTTTGTGAGGTCCTGGTGAATGTGTGTGGTTGACATGGCCCCAGAAGGAAATAGCAAAGCCTTCCTCCTGGGGTGAAATTCAGAGAAGATAGCAAAACCTTTCTCAGGGTCCAAATGTGGGTACTGATAGATAGTGTGTGCAGAAAATATCCACGTCAGCTTTCTCCCCTCAGATCTTTACAGCCTAAAGATCAATACCCTACAGAGACTGCTCTCACTAAGACTAGCTAGGCCTGTGTCCTTGATCCAGCTGTATATAATAACCCTGACTCCTCATTTATCTGTACACAATAACCCTGCCTTCTTATTGAGCTGTATACAGTAACCCTGCCTCCTTGTTTATCTCCATGTAACAACCCCACCCCTCCTTCAGCTGCATGCAATAACTCCTCCCCCCTTCAATTGTGTATGATAAACACTTTGCAATCACAAGGTGCTTCTGTCTCAGAGATCCCCATGCACCTGTACCCACTGCATCCGAGTGCCTTATTTTGTCTTGTCTTCATTCCCTCATTGCTCTGAGTCAGGCCAAGTCCCTGGGGTCATGCAAGGACTCCATAGTCAACATAACCATCTCTTCCCTGCCAGGGTCTAGGCTAGCCAGGCCACTGAGGAACTTTTTCCCTTGGGCTTTCTCCATGTACTGTTTTCATCACTTCTGTCCTAGGTCACAGGGAATTGACAAACACAAGAGTCAGATGTTCAGATCATTATACCTCACCATTTATTTGTAGTGTCATGCATATGTTCCATCAGTCCCTGTAGCAATTATTCTATGCTTCCTTCTGATGACAAATGAAAAGCCTGTATCTTCACACCATGAGCATCCTTATGTCCCTACAAGTACAAATTGGTACCTTTGTTTCCTTCTCGATCATCTTATGTTGGATCAGCAGCTAAAGAAAGAAAAAAGATCACATGTGTTAGCTATAGCTGCATAACAAATTGCCCCCAAAATATAGTGGCTTAAAACAAACAGTGTGGGTGGGTTAGAAGCACCTTACCCAGGTGGCTCAGGATGTCCCTGGAAGGAACAGTTACGTTGCTGGGACAGCAGTCATGTGAAGCCCTGGCAGCAATGTGTCTGGGAAGGTGGAACTGGTTGTTGTGTTGAGGATCCAGTTTTTTCCCATGTAGTTTTCACCAAAAGGATACTGTCTGTTGATATGGCAATTGACTTTCTTGAAACAAGTGATCCAAGATGAAGCAAAGAGCAAGGTGGGAAGCCAGAGGCCTTTTATGGGCTAGTGTTAGTAACCACCGCTGGCCTTTCTACAGTGTCCTGTTGCTTATTGAGTCAGCTCTAGTCTGTATAGAAGGTGATGACAAAAATATGTGGGTGCCGGGAGGAAAGACTCCCTCGACACCATCTTGACTAGCAGGGAGAGCCATTGTTGTTCCCATTTTACAGATGGGAAACATCATGGCATCAATGAGAAAGTGGTAGTGACAGGAAATGATGCACTTTGACTATTAAGTCCTGCCCTAAGACTATGTTTCCTCCTCTAGTGTGGTAGCATTCCATGTTGATCATGGTTTTGAATTGTAATGTTACTGTTAAATCAGTATTTGAATTTTTGATTACCCATGTGTGGTGGTTATTTTTACTTGTCAACCTGACACAACTTAGAATCACCTGGGGATTTCAATGAGAAATTATCTACATTGAGTTGGTCTGTGGGCATGTCTCTGGGGGATTGTCTTAATTGGTTAAGTAAAGCCGGAAGACCCATCCCACTGTGAGTGGCAGCATTCCCTAGGCAGGGCCTGATCCTGAGCTGTGTAACATGGAACTAAGCACAAGCATCAAGCAAGCAGCAGTAAGCAAGCATGCACGCACTTCCCTTTACTCTGCACTGTGGATGTAACAATAGTGATGTGACAAGATGTTTTAAGTGCTTGATGCCCTTGGCTCCTCTGCTGTGATGGACTGTCACTTGGAACTATGACCTAAAATAAGCCCTTTCTCCCCTAAGTTGCTTTTGTAACGATAACAGAAATGGAACTAGGACATCAAAGTCTTGTCTCCCACTTCCCACCACTTGAATGTGTTGGAAGCTTTAAATGTTGGGACCCAGTGGCCGTGGTCTGTGATTAGGAGGTTATAGGACCCTGGTCTCTTCCTTCTGATCTTTCTTTTGCTTTTTGACATTGCTTTGCTCCACCTCATATCCCCGTCACAATATGCTACCTCAACACAGGCCTAAAGGCAATGGAACCAGACAACCCTGGCCTGACCAATTGTAAGAATTCCTTCTGAGTTGATTATGTCGGGTTTTGGTTACAGTGGTGCCTAGCACAAACACTATATGTATATTGGACATCCATTACATAGTGATGCTGAAGGCCACAGAGAGCACCAATTTGCAAAGGGCATTCACAGTGGGAAGGTGTGGCTGTCTTGGTTAGTAGGAAGCATGGCTGACACGGGCTAACATAGCATGCATTTATATTATGCCCATTCGATATTATAGTTTCAGCAAAAGAAAAGTGTACAAAAAGGAATAATTAAAAGTACTAGATTAGTGACTGACTGAATCGAATGAGCCTTCAAAGACAGGGGTGGGGAAATGATCTTAGGTTTAACTCACCAATCCTTTTTAGAGTTAATCTCACAGCAGATTCCCAAATCTGACCCCATCAAATACCTCCCCTCATCTCCCCTCCCCTTCCTTCCCCTCCTCTCCGTGCTTCCGTCTCCCTCTGGTTTTTCTTTCATCATTCTTCCCAATCAGAATTCTTTCCCTAACCAGAAAGTGCCTGAATTTAAGTGTACAGTGAACTCTGTCTCTGTTTACAACAGCAGGATTTATATTGCTCCTGGGTTTACATTTGGTTTCCTTTAAATAAATTGCATATGTATGCCAAGCTAAAAAACATCCACACTTATTTATTTATAAATATCTGAGAATCTTCATTTTAAACTAAAAGAAAAGCACATATAAATAAGGGTATATTTTCTTCTAAGACAGTGAATATTTTTATAGTGTTATGATGATACTAAAAATAGCACTTAATTTTTTTTTCCATAACATGGTTTCTCTGTGTAGCCCTAGCAGTTCTGGAACTCAGATGGCCTTGAACTTGCAGAGAGCCACCTGCCTCTGCCTCCCAAGTATTGGCATTAAAGGCATGCACCACCACTGCCTGGTGCTCTTGAATATATTAATTTTATATTGCTGAAAATCTTTCAAGAACACTGCTTTTAATTTTTAAAAATTTTAGTCTGAATGGAAGATTGACTCATAAATATAATAGAGGTGGGCAGGATAGGGTATAGTGGAAGCCTTTAGAAGTGCAGGGCCCACCACTGGAGGGGACTATGTTTAGGGGTATATTTGATCCAATTCCATTCAGGATGAGCAGTTTCTCTGTGTCTGAGTCACTGTTATACTGCTGTGAAGAGACACCATGACCAAGGCAGCTCTTTAAGAAGACAGCGTTTAACTGGGGGCCTGCTTACAGTTTTAGAGGTTTAGTCCATTATCGACGTGGCAGGAAACATGGTATCTATCAGGCATGGCAGGCATGGTGCTGGAGAAGTAGTGGGCAGCAACATCCTGATCCGAAGGCTGAGAGAAAGAAAAAGAAAAACACTGGGCTGGGTGTGGGCTTTTGAAAACCTCAGAGCCCACTCCCAATGACACACTTCCTCCAAAGGGCCACATTTCTTCTAATTCTATCAAAAACTTCTATTCCCTGGTGACTAAACATCCAGATCTATTAGCCTATGGGGCCATTCTTACTCAGATCACCACATTTGACTAGTGTGATGGGCCCACTCCTTTGAAATGGGATTCCCCTGTCAGTCAACCAAGGAACATAAACTTGGCCTCTGTGCCTTGGGCTTCCAAAGGCATCCCACTCTGTCTCTGACTCTCAAGTACTGGGATGACAATGGCCTCTATACCTACTTTGACGTGTGTCCTGGGGATTGAAACATTGGTCCTAACACTTGTATAGCAAGTGCCTTATCTACTGATCCTTCTCCCCAGCCCCATTATTTCTTAGTTAATTCCATGTTTATATCATTTGCCTATCTCCAAGGGAGTATTTTACTTCTTTCTTGAGCAATAGAAGTAAGTTTGTGTTCATGCAGATTATCAACCATTGGTTTATAGCAGCGGTTCTCAACCTTCCTAATGCTGTGATCCTTTAATACAGCTCTTCCTGTTCTGGTGACCCCCAGCCATAAAATTATTTTGTCACTACTTCATAACTGTAATTTTGCTACTGTTATAAATCATTATGAATAAATCATATCTCATATGAAGGATATCAATATGTGACCTCAAAGAGGTCATGTCCTAGACACTCTGGAGAATATGGAATTAATTCATCATGGAAATTTGAGACCTGCACTAGACACTGCCAGATTTATTCCCTGGGACAGGAACTGCACCTGAAAAATACTAAGTAGTATGATAGACCCGGTAACTAATGAAATTGTTTTGTGTATGGACATTTTATCTACATGAATGTCTGTGCACCAAGTGTGTGTCTGATGCCCAAGGGGTCCAGGAGAGGATGGATCCCTGGTGATTGGAGTTACAGGCAGTTATAAAATGAGGAGGCCAGGAATTGAACCTCTGGAAGAGCAGCCAGTACTCCTAACTGCTGAGCCATTTCTCCAGCTCCTATCTAAATCTAATGTAATCTTAAAGATTGCTATATAGTTGATTTTTCCCTCTTTCTGCCTATTAGTTTCTCCTATGAAATCATTTCCTAAATATAATTGTTACTGCTGAAATTAAATTAGCAATTAAAAAAATGAACTACTATAGTCTCTAGGAACGTTTTAGACGAACTAAAGTGTTATTCAGTTAGCAAGCTAAAATTGCATAATTTTATTCATGTTCACAATTTTCTAGAGGTGTTGTTATAGGCAGTTTAGTGTAGTTTAAAAATATTAGGAAGGTAATCCATGATACCATCTTTTGCACAAAACAAACTCTATAAAGACCCATCAGGACAAGACTGATTGCAATCTAAGATGAGAAAAAAATGTCATTATGCCCCTCCAATTATGATTTGATGAAGTAAATCAGTGAAGTCATTAAAGTTCCCATGTGAAATGACCATAAAACAAACTATTGCTTGAATCCAGTGGTAAAGCAAGTTTTCTATTAAAAGTTTAGGGTTGGGAGTGTGGCTCAGAGGTAGAAACTTGCTTACGTGTACAAGCCCCTGAGTTCAATTCCCAGCACCCCCCCCAAAAAATGAAATATAAACAAAAACACCTCAAATGTGTGAGGGGGGTTAACTCGTTTAGTAAGATCAAGTTCTGCTGTAAAAACGGATTATACCTCAAAAGGAAGGCTCCACCCTTTCACACCTTCACTGCCTCTTACACCTTAGCTACTTCTTTACTTTTTTTTTTTTTTTAAGATAGTTTCTCAATTCTGATGTCGGCCACCCCAGAGCAAGGGGGAGAAAGAGAGAGGGAGGGAGAGAGAGAGATGGGGTATCCCTGTGAGCAAATATGTCTACCTGGGGTGGGGGAGACAGTTTCTCACTATGTAACCCTGGCTGGCCTGGAACTCCATATATCCCAGGCTGGCTTCAAACTCTGGTCTGCCTGCCTTTGCTTTCTAAGAGCTGGGATTAAAGTTGTGCACCACCACACCTGATTCAGCTTCTTAAAACCTATTTTAGGAGTAAAGCATTCATTAAGAACAACTTCTGCTTTCCAGAGGAGCTGGGTTCCAATCCCAGCACCTACATGGTGGCTTACAACCATCCACCATCAGTAGCCTCAGTACCAGGGGTTCTAAAACCCTCTTCTGGCTGCCACAGGTACCAGGCCTGCATGTGTACACAGATTCACTGAACACCTGTACACAGAAAATAAAAAATAAGGAGTTTTAAAACCCTATTTTAAAATGGTCACTTTGCAAACATTTAGTTTATGATGTGCCTCATGAATTGGCTTGATGTTTTGTCCTTCTCCAAATCTAAAAAGTGTTGGCCTTCATTTTGCTGTACAGAAATAATAGCCCTTTCCCCTTGTTACTAGAGAGATGTAATTTTCTTATAATGAACTATTTCTTGTTCCTTTAAAGTCTTTAAAATATTTTAAAGTCTTCAAAGTATTTCTAATATCCTTCCTATGTGGGAGTGAAGGATGTCCTAAAGGTCAAATTTAAACAGTTTGGCTTGCGTATCTTTTAAAAAATTTTTTGTATTAATGTATTTTTTACATTCTAGTACCAGTTCCCCTTCCCTCCTCTCCTCCTGATCCTCCCACCACTCCCCTACCCCCACCTCCCATCTGCTTCTCAGAGAGGGTAAGGCCTCCCCTAGGAAGTCTAAGTCTGTCTCATCATCTCATTGAGGCAGAACTAAAGCACCTCTCCACCCCCACACCCCTGTGTCTAGGCTGGGCAAGGTATCTCTCTGTATAGAATGGACTCCACTAAGTCAATTTGTGCATTAGAATTAGATCTTGGACCCACTGCCAGTGGCCTCATCTATTGTCCCAATCACACCATTGTCACCTATGTTAAGGGAGTCTTGTGCAGGTTCCCTATTTGTCAGACTTGAGTCAGTGATCTCTCACTCAGGTCAGTGGCTTGCATATCTTAAATGGCTTTATTTATGATTCTAGAATCTGGTAATACTTTTCATTCTGTAAAGTAGAATGTGTGTTTCAATGCAATGGGCAGAGCAAAGAGGTTTAATTCATTTTTAAAGACTGGGTTGTTGTGGAATATTATTTTAAATATTCCAGTCAAAGATGTGTTACATTTGCTTATGCTGTGGAATGGTATATTACTTTTGCTTATGCTGTATTTGTTTAATTATGTAAAGATGTGTTGCTTCTGTTTTACCTTGCCTGCCTAAGGCACCTGATTGGTCTAATAGAAAGCTGATCAGCCAATAGCTAGGCAGGAGAAAGGATAGACAGGCAGAGAGAATAAATAGGAGGAGAGAGCTAGGCTGGGAGAGGAATGAGAAATAGAGGAGGAGAGAAGGAGAGACATGCCTAGGGCAAGAAGCCAGGCAGCCACCAGTCAGACAGGAGGAGTAGTGAAGTAAGTTATACAGAAAGAAAAGGTAAGAAGCCCCGAGGCAATAGGTAGGTAAAGAGAAACAGGTTGATTTAAGTTAAAAGAGCTAGCCAGAAATGAACCTAAGCTAGATTGAGCATTTATAATTAATAATAAATCTCTGTGTCATGGTTTGGGACCTGATTGGTGGTCTAAAAGAGAAAGGTAGGTACATAGGGTCTCATATCTGGCTGGCCTTCATCTCCCAGTGTGGGATGCTCCAGCTGAGACTGAAGGTTAGTTTCTGATCCCCGGTCTCCATTCTTCAAATGTTGGGGTTACAGGCATTTGCCAACAGACATGGTTCTGTGTGGTGCTGCAGATGGAACCAGAGTCTGAGACATGCTACTCAAAGCACCCTGCCAACCTATCTCCAGTCCCAGCTGGGGGCTGGTTAAAGTTACTTTCCTTTTAACCAGGAACAGGGAAACAAAGTAGTAGAAAAACCACCAGCCACCAAGGATCGGTTCCTATCAGCTTACTTCTGCTCCTTACCAAGGGGAGGGATGATAATTAGAGCAGGGTTTCCCTGCTCAAATTGGTCTTTTTGGAAAATTGGCTATTTATTAAATATCTCCTGGTGTCTTAAAAGTTCTGGGAACAATCTAGTTTCAGTTTATGAAATAGATCTTTAAGAAGAATACCTCCTCTTTGATTTTTAGTTCAATTGGGTGAAGTCTGGGAGCCTGGCCTGAAACAAAATTTACCAAGTTGAATAACAGGCAACCATGTAGAAAAGGAGGTTGGGAGCAAGTGTGGAAACAATCAATTCCTCTAAAACAATCAATGTAAACAAAATTTCTGATGAAGGAAATATACTTTGTTACCCTCAGAGGGCCAAGCCTAGTCACTCAACAGCAGCGGATATTTTTTTTCAGATTTTTAAAATTTGAATTAGACAATCCCAGTTCCATTCTCCCTCCCATCCTCCCCTACCACCATCCCCCACCAACTAAAACCCTACCTATCACATATCCTTTCTGCTCCCCCTGGATGGTGAGGCCTTCCATAGGGTGTCATCAGAGTCTATCATATCCTTTAGGATAGGGCCTACGCCCAACCCCATGTGTCTTGGCTCAGGGAGTATCCCTCTATGTGGAATGGGCTCCCAAAACCCACACCTAGGCTAGGGATAAGTACTACAGGAGGTCCCGAATATTTCGAAGATTTCCTCAATGAAATCCATGTTCCTGGGGTCTGGATCAGTCCCATGCTGGTATCCCAGATACCACTCTGGGGAGCAAGAGTTCCCCGATGTTCAGGTCACTTCTTTCTGTGGGTTTCACCAGCCTGGTCTGGACCCCTTTGCTCTTCACTCATCCTTCTCTGCATCTGGATTCCAGTTCAGTACAGTGATAAGTTGTGAGTGTCTGCTCTTACTTCCACCAGCTGCTGAATGAGGGCTATCGGGCGGCATATAAGTCAGACACCAATCTCATTATCAGGGGAGGGCATTTAAGGTAGCCTCTCCTCTGTTGCTTAGATGCTGGTGTCATCTTTGTAGATCTCCAGACATTTC